CCCAAAGAAATTACTATCAGACAAAACATTAACTATTGCCTTATCCCTCCGTTACTAAAGACTCTCTGCTACTCCCAACCTGGAATACTTTTAGAAAATAATTTAGTCAGAACTGGCCTTGATTTGTGACTTTTCAGAAAAAAAAGAAAAAAAAATTGAGAACTCCACGAATTGCAACTGCAGAATTTATATTTATTTACAATTAACCATTATGATGCTTAGGTTCTAATTTTTAAAATACTCCTTTAGAAGAAAATTCAATTCATTAAAAAAAAAGGTTTTTTTCGTTAAAATCAACCTCCTTTGAGCATTTAAAAAAAAAATCTTTAAAAGACTCCATATGCACCAAAACATTTATAGCAGCACGTTTCGTGATAGTGAAGACCTGGAAAAAAGAGGTGTTCACTAATTTATCAAACCAAAATGTGGTACATGAATGTAATTTGATGTTGCTGTGCTGCAAGAAACAAGCATGATGACAGGGTAGGGTGGATAGACTTATATGAACCGGTATCAGCCAAGCTGAGCAAGCGGAGCCAGGAAAACAGTACACAAGTTAAAATGGAAACCAAGTGGCGCAAAATTATAAAGAATAAGTTTGGTCCCAAAGAGACAGGAGCAGACAACTCTAGAGCTGTTGAATGTTTCACATGATGTCAGATTATTTCAACACATTGATCAGTTTTACGAAATTTTTTTCTTCTTAAATTCTACACTAAAAGAAATGGCTCTGGTGGGGGAGGGAGGAGGAGGGAGAGAGAGAGAGACAGAGAGAGAAGCAAAAATCTAGACAATCAAATATTTAAAATTTTTAAAAGTATTTTAGTATTTATGTATGTGTGTGTTTGTGTTTTTATGGTTAATTTACTTTTTAAAAATGTGCAAGATTCTGGTACACTAACATGGTGCCAAAATATTAGTCATTGTTTTTTTCTCAGAGTGATAAGCATACTCACTTTTTAAGTGTATTTTTAACCAAAAATCACATAAATGAATAAAAAAAATGAATAAAAAAAATATAAAAAATAAAAAAACAATCAGACCAGTATCTTTTAGTGCAAGGTACTCCTCAGTTTTACAGTAATTCCTGCAAAGACAGCCCATCAGTATTTAACAGTGGAGATGATCAAGCCTGATACAACTTCAATCATACTAATTTTCAATCACTAATTTATAAAAAGGAACAATATGATTAAACCAAGTTATTTTTAATGTACAATCCAGTTTCATGAATTTGATAACTGTCTGTTAGAATAAACATTTTCATAATTTTATAATGACAAAGTTTTCATTTTTAATACTGTACTCAGATATTTTGAGCCTTTTAATGAAAAAGGTACATAGAATTCACTGGTCATATTTTAAATAAATTTATATATGATTATCTGTTAGTGTAATAAGTTATAAATACAATTTGTAATAAGCTAATTTACATTTCCTTAAAAATTAAACTAGTCTCTCTACTAGAGTCTTGCTACTTATCCATTTATTCCTCACGTAATGTTCCTACAAAAGACTATATTTGAAGTAAAATCACACTAAAACACACCAAGAATCACACTCTATACACTCTTCTAAATGTGCTTTAGGTTACCTATCAAATTATTAAAATTCCAATAGTAATTGGCTGTATGTAACAAAAAAAAAAGAATCTTATGTGAAAAATAGGAGTCACCAAAAAAAAAAAAATGGAGAAATTTTAGATACTTAAAACTATATAAGAGCAACACAATTTTTTAAAAATCCTAACTGAATATTTCTTTTCACCTAAGAAATTTAATATAAGGAGCACAAACATTTTGGCTGCCAACTGTGACAAGTCTCTTCGAAAGCAATTATGATACCTTTTCTTACTAACAAATTAGTGCAAAAATGTGAAGAATGCATTAGTCTAGCTGGCAGAGCCTACTAGGGTCCAAGAGGTCCAAGAAAGTCGATGGGGATATGTGGAACTGCTAACTCAGGCGACATAGAAGCTGGAGAGAAAACACAGGGCTCATGCCTGCCATTTTAAAATTAGAGATAAAGCAAAGTGCTTGTCTGACTCTCTCACATTATAAACTATCATAAAGGCAATGCTAAAAAAAAAAATAATCTCTGTAGCTGCAAGGTGATATCTATATCTAGTCCCCATATGGAAACTAGTGGTGTTTAGAATTGAAAATGTAAAAAGGTAACTTTTAAAAAATCTTTGATTTAAAGAGTCAGGTATCAAAGACAAAAAGGAAACTAACACAAATTTATAAGGCCAAGAGCAAGAGCACAAAGAAGTGGTAAAAGTATAGACACAAATGATTCTCAAACTATTAACCACCATATAAGGAATGGAAATCAAAGCAATTCCCAGGTTTTACATACCCGACAAACTGGCGAAGAGAGCAACTGGTGGGCATAGTTATATTGGAGGGGTTATGCAAAGACCGACACTAATACCCTTTGTGGAATTCTAAGGAGGTCTGACTAGTCTTTCTGGAAAGCAATTGGGAATGATGCTAAAAAACCAAGAAAGACAAAAATGTCCACACTGCTTTGACCTAGAGGTTCTGTAACTGGCCATGTGCCCCAAGAAGGTCAAAGACAGAAAGGTCCTCTATACATAAACTCATTTTCAGCAGCTTTTTTTGTAGGATGACAGGCCCGGCAAGTTAGGTTAGCACCATGACAATCTAACAATTTAAATTATGAATATGCCTAAGATGGGGGACAATTTACAAACCAAGATCCAATTCACTTGGTGGTTCAACTCCTGGTGAGCAGAGGGGCCCTTTGTACAAGGGTCTGCTATTTTGAATTGCTTTGCTCCTATTTCAACTGTTTGCCTCTCCTCTCTAGGCCTTGTTTAAACATTCCATAAACAAAACACATCCACGTGTTTTCAGTTTTGTTACCGTGTTCCTTCAAATTTATTTTCAAGAGATTTTCAATCAGTAACAAATGGAACTACGTCAAGTTCACGTGTTGATACATATTTAAAATAAGGATCTAATAGATAACATTACCCTGCTGGGTTTAATTTCAAAGCAAACTAAAATACTAGAAGGTACGAACAAATCCGCTTCCCAAACATATCTTTCCTCACCGACCCAATAAAGTGTCCCCACAACAGGGCATTTTGTGGTTTTTGTTTGCAGTGAACGCACATGTACACAGGCACATTATTCAATAAAAAGGTCATGTCCAACACTGATCCTCCCCAGCTAGAAGTGGCCTCAGTCCTTAAACCTCCCTCCTGTGCTCATATGACATCTTGTATTAGTTGTTTGTGCACCTTATCAATTCCCCTTTCTAGGATCTAAGTGCCTTATGGGTGAAGGCTCTATAGTTGTGCATCCCCGTGTCCCTACTGCCCAACAGAGTGCTTTTAAACATGAAAGATGCTGGAAAAAATATTCAACTTCTTTAGTTCTACAAATTAATTATGAACAGCAGTCAGCTTAACCAAAGAGGCTGCCAAATGTTCACAGTGTAAAACAAAACAATGTAAAAACGACTTCCCCCTTTAAAGTTTATTTTACCAGATTAGTCATGAGTGGAAAGAATCACAAGACAGAAGGTCTCTTCCTCTTCGGTACTTAAGATTACACTGGCTCCTTTCATATAGGCAAATTCCTTTTGACGATGATGCCCGCGGCGACTATAATCTATGCAAACATCATGGCTGATATTTCAAATGTGAAATTTTATTAACAAATCACCTTGGCATACTATAGTCAAAATGCCAAATACCTAATTTGTGACTATTAGTTATTATGTGGCTCTATTTAAAATGACTACTGTAAATTCTTCTATTTGCAATAAATGTCTTTTATTGTCAAGTCTTAACTTAAAATGCTTTTTGAACGTCCAAATTATTTTTAAGTGTCCATAGGCTTAAAGTTACAACTCATATATTCATATATTTTGTAATGGCCTTCTCATGGATCAGCAGAACAATGCAATCATGTCATTAGCTAAACTTTAAGCTTTTAAATTCAAAATACTAAAGATAAAAATACATTTCACATTAAGAGCTGTTTTTCCTTTATTCAAGTAACTCATTTTAAATGAAATACACAACGTTGGACCAGCCGAGGAACAGTATAATCTGCTAGCACGACAGCTGTCTGGCATGCCAGACTCGATGTTGCCGTCTTCTATCTAAAATGAACGTCTCCCCTGGGATTCATCATGATGTGGCATCCACCCCCAACATCAGCAGTGGGCCAAAAATACTAGCAATCCTAGAGGCTTACAGGACATCTTTCACATATCCTTCAAATGCAAACTGCCTTTAAAAAATCACTCAGTTTGTATTCTGATAATCATAAAACCCCACTCACTATACAGTTTATATTACAAAATTAACAAGGTCATAAATTAGTAAACATTTTTCAGCCAAAATCAACTCACTAAAGAAAAACAAATATGACTAGGGAAAACAGAAAGAGCACCTTATGAAATTTAATTCAAAAGGATTAAAAATCAGTATCAGAAGATATTCTCTTTTCTATTTTTACCTTTTAAAGGTATTAATGTCTACTAAAAGTAGACATTTAGTATGTCTACTAAAGAGACATAATGACTTAAAACATAAGGTATGCAAAGTGCCTTGTCAGTGGATATACATATACATGTGTTGGAAATTGCAAAGGCACTCAAAATGAATTTACTTAACTATGCAATACAGCAAGTGCTGCTCAGAAAATATTGGTTTGCCAACAGCAGCTTCTGTGACAGTAAGTGGAAATAATGTGACAAACACCTTGTTTGGCATAAGTGAACTGTGAAATCTTTCCCCACTAATTGTAAAGTGCTTTCTTAATTGGTCTTTCTGTTACCATCATGATTTGAATCTGTCAAAGGCACTAATATCTTTGACATTTTCTCTGAAACAAGTCAGATGTTAAAAAAACTAATGTTTTAATTTTATTCAAAACTAAAGGGGGGAGAAAAAGAAAGGAATGTTAGTTACTAAGTTTTATTATTCTTTTTTTCTTAGGAACAAAGGAAAACTACTTGAATAATATTGTGCTTTCTTTTTATTTCTGAAATTATGCCATTTAATATACATGAAACTAAACGTGACCCTTCTCTACAAGTCTGGTTGTTGTGAGACCCTGGTAACAAAGCCCCACACCCTCTTAAGATTTATCGTAAGAAAAGTTTAACAAGGCTTCAGAATGCTTCCTTTCCCCCAAATGAAGTCAATAAATTAAAAAACTTAACTATCACTTTATAAAAAATATTTGTTTCATCTTCTTATAAATCTTGAAATGCTTACAAAAGCCAGAAAATACATTTAAAAGTGTTATTTTTAAACACAAAAATCTACCCTTTAAAACATAGTTATGGTCAGAAAAGTGACAGTTAAAATGGCATCTCAGCAGTCTCGATTTCCCTTCTCAGCCAATTCCAAATAAAATTCCTGCAAGTGAAAACCAAAAGGAGATTTCTAGCTGTTGATCTCACAAAGTCCTACTCATATTTGCAGGTTGCACTTCGTTCCACTTAATGCACTCGCCCCAAATATGCCCCAATACCAAAGTGTCTAGAGTCACATCTCAGCTGAAAGGGTCAATAACAATACATGGGAGACACGATGAGCTCTCCCAGAGCCACCTCACTGCAGTGTGAAACATGCTTTGGTCAGTAAACTAAAAATATGGTTCAAGAAAAAGAAGAGAGAGGCTATTTTTAGAACCAATTTTCTGACCTTAAGTATATTTTTACATTGAAAAGGTAAGGAAAAAAAGATCACATACATATAGAGGTCTCAGCTTTTCAACCATTTGGCATTTTTGTATTAATAATTTTCTCCTTTGAAAGTGTATTTATACTCCTGTGTCCTGATTATCATGACATGTGCATTAAAATTAAAACTGGTTCCCCCTTCCCAGCATGTCCTGTAGTGAATCGCATTAATTGTTCCTCCTGCATTTCCAAGACGATGCTCCTTCATCCTGGAGTTTTTTAAATTTTGGACCAACAAAGAACCACCAACTGAATCCAAAAACAACACAGAAAAGGGATTCCACATAATAGCCATCCAAGGTAGTAACACAAGAGCCACCGAGTTTTTTGCAAAGCTGTAAGAACAAAAACATTAATGAGAATTTGTTGTCGAGTATTTAAATAATTAAAATATATTTCAAAGTTTAAATTCTGCATAATCTGTCTACTTCGAGAATATTTAAAATGGCTTAATTATAAGCCATCTTCATGAAAGATTTGAAAAAAAATTTCTACATGCTTTCTCCCTTGTAAAATGTCATTTTGCATTAAAAACTTAAAAAAAAAATTAAAGGATCAGACTTTTCAAAGTCTGTAGGTATTTTTATTCTTTCTAGACTACTTTCATCAGCAACAGTATGCCATATAGACAAAGAAAGTATGCTTTGAGCTCCTTTTTTACTTTAGTAGTCAGTTACTAATATTTAAGACCCTGTAATTAGCCTTTCTCTCCCCACTAGAACTTGTAAGTTCTGTGACAACAGAAATTTTCATTTGGTTTTTGTGTCACCAGGCCTGTCACAGGCCTGGACCATAGTAGGTGCTTAATAAATGCTTCTTGCTTAATTCAATCTATCATTATAGAAGCTGCGTATAATTCATTGTGCACTCACTAGGCACCCATCGAGTATAGAACACTGTTATCGTGATGTAACAGAGGCAATGAGGATTTAAAGACAAGGCACTGCTAGAAGATAAAATGCAGGTAACTTAATTCTGGGCAGCATCAAGCTGACAACTCTACTCACGTCAGCTGCTTCAGGAGTCCAACAATTCTGGTCTGACACTCCCGAGCATTCCTTCACTGTGAGAGGATCCACCAGCCAGAGAGCCACTGTCGAAGGCCAGTTCCCTCCCAGATTGGACACAGTATTTAAAAGCGTCATATACGTGCCTCCAATAAGTGGATCGCTAACTTTGGCATTAAAAGCCATTATAGAAACGTACATGCTGTACAATGTGATCTGCCGAGAAAAAAATCAAACAAATCAAAGCAAGGAACTACAGAGGTTTAGCCTATCGAGGGAATTTTTCTTGGGAGGTAGGGGAGGGGTGATGGAACAGATGACTGATCTCAAGAGTTATCACATATAAAAGGAATTAGAATTTTCCTGTGTTGTTCTAGAGGGAAAAACCAGCAGCGATGAGTGGAAGTCACAGGCAGAGAAATGTTGTTCGATATAAAGACAAATTATTAACAGTAAGTGACAGCCCAAAACGGAACTATCTTGAAAAGTAGTGAGCTGCCCCCAAGTGTTCTGGGAGGGGCAGGGAAATTTTGTGTTAGGGATATAGTAACAAGAATTCCTAGTTGTGTAAGAGCATGGTTTTAAGATATAGGATATAGTTTACTTTTTTCTAAAATTAGATTTTAAATTCCAAAAATACTAAATGTCAAATTCAAATTTGCTTCTCAGTCATAATTCTATAGCAAAATATGTAGTCAAGACAGCTTCCAAATGACCTGTACTAATAAAGAAAAAAGTTAATTCATCTTAAAGTATCAAAAGTCAAGTCAAATTTTGTCTACATTGATTAATCCTTTAAAGGCTTATCTCTGACTGGTATGCTTATGTGATTAGTAAGGAATACAAACTAATTTTGACATTAACCTAGGAAAAACATGGAAAGAAAGGTAAGTTGATCGTATAACCACTTAATCAAACAGTGTAATTCAAAAGGAAATATTTTTAATGATAAAATTGCTCTTTACAATTAGCACATAGCTGATGATGTTACAGAAACCACAAAGTCAACCACTTACTAATTGAGCACACATTAAATACTCTGTACTGGGCCAGGGATTTCGTGTAATATACAAATCAATAAAAAAATGTCCTACCCTTAAAAAACTATGGTAGGGCAGCTAGGTGGGGCAGTGGATACAGCGCCAGCCCTGGAATCAGGAGGACCCGAGTTCAAATCCAGTCTCAGACACGTAACACTCACTAGCTGTGTGACTCTGGGCAAGTCACTTAACCCCAACTGCCTCACCAAAAAAAAAACAAAAAAAAAACCAAACAAACAAAAAAAAGAAACTATAGTTAGTTGGAAGCTATAATCTATGGAGTTCTCAACACAGGCATGTACATTTTGAGTAAACCAGCAGCCATGGCATTATTGGGGCGCATGAGCGATAACTGGGCAAACTTTTAAACCGGCGGAAGCCCCAAAGTATTCAACTTAGATCAACAGCTAAGTCTTCCTGCTTCTCGCCATGCTTTCTAGGACCAAAGGCTGGAGTTAGGAAGGATCTTTCTAGCCATGCAAACCCCTCAATTTACAAAGGGGAAAACTGAGGAGAAAAAGGGGAATTGACCTGCCCAAGGCCACACAGTTAAGTGCTACAGGCGTCATTTGAACTCAGGATCTCTGACCCCACAGTCAGGGATTTTTTCATTGCTATTGCTCTCTGCTCCACGTTTGTTTGAGCCACTTTCCTAAATACAATACAACTCACTCAGACCAAGCACTTTAAGTGAAACTAAAGTCAAGTGATGATCAGCTCTTTTTCCAAGTTCTAACAAAATACTAAAAATCATGAGACTACAAATGCATTCCTAACAGAGAACAGTATTCACTGCCTGAGGTGCAAAGTCTGTCTCACTGTCACACACACAGACAGACAGACACATAGACACAATTCAGCAGAGAAAGTTCTGCTGAAGTCAAGCTGGTGACCGAGACCTCCAAAAGCAGGGGAGGAGTCAGAAATTGTCCCCAACCTTCCAGTTGTCCCTACTGAAGGGACATTTCCAGTAAACAAGAATGACTGAGGTTGAGGGGGAAATATCTAAAACCTAAAAAGGAGTCAGTGGATGGAGAGATATTTTGAGTATAAGAGCACCTTGTTTAGAATTATCTTCTGACATGTAACAATATGTTAAATAAATAATGCCTTTTCATATAGTACGTAGATTCAACTACAAGATTTCCTGTGACCCTCAGTGGGGGCTTTTGGCATACAGACCTGAATATACACATATGGAGCATAGAATGATGGAGCCTAAGGCTTGAAGGAGACTCTCTGGGGTAACTTTTGGTCTTCTAACGAAGACACGTTCCCATCTCGGCCATATCACCGTTTGGCTTATCGTTTGGAGCCACTGAGCTATCAATCACTTGTTTTGTGATTGAATGAGTACTGTATCTAATAATTCTTATATTTAAATATATTCTCTTTTTTTGAAGGTTGCCTAGTTTGGATTTTTATTACTTGTTGTTGTGTCACATGGTCAATCTCCCCCCAGGCCAAAGCAAGTATCACAGTACAAAGGCTCCTGGCAGAAATGCTTCCTCTCCCATACATCCCATACAAACGGTGCAGCCCTTTCTGTCTCAGCGGTACACACTGAAGTCCTCCTACCTCATAGCCCCACACCATTCTAAAAAACTGTTAGGAGGAAAAGGCCTTCTCAATGACTAATCCTGTCTAATCCCTCTTGCTTTTTGAAATTACAACTACAAGTGGGACAAATCTGGGAAACTGCATCTTCACTACACATGGAAGAGGTCGCATAGATCACAAGGAAGCTTCCTCAGCAGACAATCACTACTTTTTTTTACCTGATGTAAGGCGTAACTCAGCAGCACTATAATATAGTAATAGATTGGAAATCCTCCTTGATACGCTATTTTGGGAGTCCACCAAACCATCAAAGCATATTCCAAGCCAAGTAATAATCTGCATAGAAATAAAGAATTAGAAGCTGCTTTCAATTTCAGGTGCACACCAAATCTTATAAAATTATTAATGTGCACCTATCACGACAGGATCCTCCACCTAAAATGTGCTTGAGACCAGTAAGATAAAAAATCATTTAAAGAAACAAAACTGACTCTGACTTCCATTTCTATGCTTAGACATCCTGGAGCTCTAAGGTGAGAGATACTGAAACAACTCTCTCTGTTCCACTTTCTTTCCCACTTACCTGTAGGGCATGGCTTTATAGAACACATTTAGTGGCTGTGGGCCTGCAGTATACTTGCTGATGATCAGAGGCAATATGATCTGTAAGGGAACCATGGGAACTGCCAACAGGGCCAAGTGCTCCTTGGGCACCCCCTCTTCCACCAATTTCAGGCCTGTTACTGCATCTGCTGCTGAAAAGCCAATCTGTAACATAAAAACAAAGGGAGGCTTCAACTGCTGCTCTACGATGTCTTTCACCAAAGCAGAACCAGACAATCAAGTGTTTTTAAAGCTGGAAAGGACTCAGGAGATCACCAACACGACTATCTTGTTTCGAAGACACCCAGGCGGATGAAGCAATCGTCCAAAGGGTCGGCTTGTGCTGGGACAGTCAGAGCCAGGCCTGGAACACGAGCGTTTTTGCTTAAAGTCTACCTACCGCTCATCCAACAATGCCACCCTTCTTCTCTTTTGAACCCAAATTAGTTACTTCATTATAAATCTATGTCCATCTCACAACCAAGTAAGATATCAAAGCCTCCATCTTTTAAGTTAAAAAAAACCTCAGGTCAAAGAAAGGGGACTTGTCACATGGTCCTGCAGTATTTCTAATGAAACCAAGAGTAAATTTCAGCACTTCTACTGTACTCCACTGGTTACAAATCAAACTCTACTCCTTTGAATTTCTATGACAAAAGTGCCAAAATGTACTCGTTACTTTTTAATTTTCATAAACTATATTTTCCCTACTGCCTGAAAAATTAAAGACATTTCTCCCTTTAAAACTAATCTCTAAATAACTCAAAAACTCCAAGAATCTTTCAGTGTTTTCCAGAATGAGGGAAAATACAGGGGGAGGGAGGATCATAAATCTAGAGCTCGGACAGGACTTTCAAGTTCATCTAGTATTGACTTTTCAAGTTATAGATAGACAACCAAGGCCCAGAAAAGCTCCATGTCGGGTAGTACAGCCAGGACCTGAAAGCCAGGCCTATAAATCAAAATACTGTTCTTTACATTAGATCGCTCAGAAATTATAGAGCAAAAAAGTATGTTATGTTCTTTTTTTTTTAATGATAGGAGCTAAAGTAAAAAAAAAAATCTATTATTTAAAAAAAAAAGGCAAGGATTCCTTGACATTTATGTATAGAATTCCACTGAGATTGTTAGTACTTCTTTATATAAGAAGTTATTTATAAGAAGTTTATATAAGTTATTTACGTACATTTAACACTATATCAAAAGTTATACAATAGAGAAAGTTAATTCATTACAATTTTTCCCTGAGTGAATCCAAAAGATGGTTGAAAAAAATTACTTACATGTTAGTTTAAATTTTCTAATTGATTTCTAATTTGAGAATTTGGGATTTTTTTCATCAATAGATTTTAAACTCTCCAATATTCAACACACACTAAGAAAATAGTTGTGGTCTTCCTAACCAGATTATGTTTATACTAGTTACATTAGTGCAGACATTTTCATTTTTATTATGGCTTTCCTTTTTAAGTTTTTATTGACATAATTAAATATAATTATTTTAAATTAATTGAATTAAGTTAATGGATTATTATTACCAGTATTAACAGTACTTGTATGTACTTATATGGGGCTCTATATCATGTCAAGACTCTGAAAGTACATTTTCTGTTCCCTTTAGGACAGGCATTCACCATCCAATATTCTTATTGCTAAGTCCTAACTCTAGGAAAGGGGAAGAAAAAGAAGGGAGAAGTGTAGCTAACTAGATAAAAATCAGGAAAGCAGAGTAACCCCTGGAAGCCAGAGGCCCTGAGGTGACAGCTTTGCTGATCTCTCCCTTTTATGGCCTGGAAGGAGTTCCTCACCTTCTCTGGGCAGAACCTCAAAGACCCTTCCAAATCGCAACTTAATCAACATTTTGTTTTGTTTTGTTTTGTTTTTTTAGGCAATTGGGGTTAAGTGACTTGCCCAGGGTCACACAGCTAGTGTTAAGTGTTTGGTCTGAGGCTGCATTTGAACTCAGGTCCTCCTCACTGCAGGGCCAGTGCTCTACCCACTGCGCCACCTAGCTGCCCCTTAATCAACTTATTTGATCACAATCATGAACAAATATTACAAAGTAAGAGAAAAATAGGAGGTAAAGAAGTTATCAGGATGGTAGAAGAGCTGAGTACAGAGAAAATAAGAAAGCTCAAATGTATAAACACTAGAATGAAAGACTGTCTATCAACTAGAAATGCATTAATTGACAGGACTTATTAAAAGACAATAGTGAAAATACTACTTAATTCTATGAATTTGAAAATTTATGCATGATTGCCAACCATCGTGATTTAAGGTTTATTTTACTTGTTACACATAAATTCTGTCAAGTTTTTTTTTCCCTTTTAATAGACTCAAAAAATTTGGAAATTTCATAGATAGCACTAAGATTGGGAGGGAACAGGGACTGACAAACTGTATGTGGTCTAATCCTTTTAAAGCCCCTTCTTTAATACTAGCTAAGCTTATATTAAAATACTTAAAAACAGATTTACATATACTAAATTCATCTTTGAAATAAAATAAATGTAAGATAGTAGCAATAATAGAATTATATGAATACCTATTTCAGAGATGTACTTACCTTTGCAGTTAAAATCATGAGGCAGAAAGTCACAACTGCGGGCATCTTTATAATTGTAAAAAGCAGCTTGTAAGTGTCTGTAATTCCTTTTGTATCTTCTTTTGATGGCGTTACTTCTGTGTTTTCTTTTTTTAGAAGGGCAACTAATGTTGTTGTTATCAAAAATATGGTCCCCCAGAAAAACAGAAAATCTAAAATAAAAAATAAACTCTTTACTCCATAATTCACCTCAAAGTGAGCATATAAGAATGGAGTCAGGGCAGCTAGGTGGTACAGTGGATAGAACTCCGGCCTTGGAGTCAGGAGGACCTGAGTTCAAATCTGGCCTCAAGACACTTGACACTTACTAGCTGTGTGACCCTGGACAAGTCACTTAATCCCACTGCCTAGCCAAAAAAACAAAAAAAAAAAGAAAAAAAAAGAATGGAGTGTAGGATGCTTATATCTTTTTGTTTCAGAAAGTGAAGAAAAGGCACAAAATTTATCATACATTAGTCCTTATAGCGACATCAATGTAACATATCAATAATTTTAGGGGAATTTTCTAATTTACGTATGTTTTTTAATCTCTTCAACCACCAATATGGTGGTATAGGAGTAAGTTATAAAAAAAGTCACAAGAGTCTACAACGACTATATCTAGGAGCAGATATAAACAGTAATTTGGCTGAGGCAGTCACTCTCCTGAAAAGGTAGAAAGAATGAAATGGCAGGGAGTAAAATGGGAGCAATGTTAAGAAACTGAGATCAGCCACCTGGGCCAATCAGTGAACAAAGAGAAAGAAGTTGTTAAACCCTAGAGAGGTTTCTACTATCTGAAAGAGGCAGAGTCCTAGGAAAACAGCCACTGTCAACGCACAAAGTGTGACTGTGGTGTCATGACCGGTTCTGTTTGCTTTGTTTTTTTGCTTTTTGGTGAGGCAATTGGAGTTCAGTGACTTGCCCAGAGTCACACAGCTAGTAAGTGTCAAGTGTATGAGTTCACATTTGAACTCGGGTCCTCCTGACTCCAAGGCCAGAGCACAATCCACTGCACCACCTCGCTGCCCTCTGACTGGTTCTATTTGAAGGCCAGACTTGGCTTTTTTTTAAATTAATTTTAAAAATATTTATTGATTCACTTCTAAACAATAATAAACCCATTACATGTCAACAGAAATAACATTTTTATGAAGCAAAACTATAATTCCTAAAACAGAGAAAATAGAAGGGAGGCATTATTTTATATATTTTTCCAATTCTCTTAATGTCTGGCTTAATAGAAGACAGCTGAATTCTCATATCTGCTTCTGCATTTAATCTGTTGTGATATGTTTTTCTGGTTGAAGTACATGAAGAAAATCCAACCTTACACAGATATGTAGTTGGAAAAGGGAGGAATATTTTAATAGAAAAATGACATCATAGTTTTTTATCTTGTGGCCCTATTGAAAGGGTCTCAGGCATACATGTTGAAAACTAGTGTTCTAGGGAGTCTCTAGCAGTGAAGAAAGAATTTAAATGTTGACAGGGAAGGAGAATATATTCTCTTTTTTTTCTTCCCTCCCCATTCATCAATCATGGCATCCAGTAGCACGGTTACTGTCCCAGAAGGAAAGACTTTTCCCAAGTTGAAGTCAGTTTGAGAGTACTCAGGGAGCAGCTGAGGAAGCAGGAGGAGACACTCTGCAGACAAACATACATTTGGAGAGGCAGTCATGAGGTGGTAAGTAGTTTCAAGGCGCATGCATGCCTTCTGTAAGTAAAGAAGAGAGAGAGCTTTGGACTCAAGAGAGCTAGCCCTGGAAATTGAGAGTTGAGCTGTGGAGAGAGCAGATTGTAAGAATCCAAGTGAGTGACCCACTCAGCTGCTTTTGTTTTTTAAAACCATCTTTCAGGAAGGCTCTCCACCTCCAGCCCAAAATCGTTTTAGAACAAGCTTCAGAAGAGATCTCAACTGATAACCCAGGGAAGGAGGCTGAAACAAGAGAACAATACACAAAGCAAACAATCTAAATGGAAAATGCAAAACCTGAAATGGACTAGCTCACACAGGGCTGCAGTGAGTCCAATTCTGTGCTGCAGTGAAGAGCTGAGAAAGTGCAGCCCCTGAATTCTTTGCTAAGTCAAGTGAGATGTGCAGCTCTGCCCGTGGGTTGGCTTGGTTGGACTTTTTCTCCCCTTCTCTTTCACAATCATTGTTACAAGGGGATAGTTCACTGGGAGGGGAGGGATATATTGGGAAATGAATGGGATACAGAAACAATAACTATTGATAAAAACAGGATTTAAAAATTACTTAAGAACTAATTTATGAGCCCTAAGAAAATTCCGTCATTTCTTATTTTCTAACCAGAAATAACCAGTAATATGATAATCAGTATTAGCTTGATTCCTTGTAATATTCAAGAGACTTCGCTCTAAGCAACTTCCAGCTTTTTCCAAGTCAAATCCATTCGGAAAGGAGGAAGACTTGCCAACAAGGTGAATATTCAAGAGGACGTTGCCCTAGGTTCAGAAGGTAACAGGGAAGGTGTAACAAGGCTCAGGGGTTTGTGGAATGACACAGTGCCGGGCAGGCAATACCTGCCTTTTCTTCTACAACAGCAATTCTTATGAAACTCTTCCCTAGCACAGCACTTAAATGTGTAAATTAAGATGACATACATTTCACCTTTTATTTCTGTAGTGTTTTTCCAATCCCCTCTTTCACTGACTTAATTTGACCCCTCCCCTACTTACGAACAACAATAATAACAAGCATGTATGTGGGGGTCTTAACTAGGGCGTATAAACCACCTTCCTCCCAATTTCCTTGTGAGATACAGAGTAAAAGTATTCCCACTTCCATTTTGCAGAAGAGGAAGCTGAAGTTAAGAGCTCACGGTCAAAGAGCTGGCAATCAATCCTAACACTAGCTGGTGTGTCTATAACGATACAATAAGGTTGGCCGAATGTTTTATGTCAACTGGGTGATCTGATCCTCACAAAGTATCCTCTCCAGGGCACAGATGGGGAAGTGGAGGCTGGGGAGACTCAGTCACACAATTAAGAAGATATCAGGGGCAGCTAGGTGGCGAAGTGGATAGAGCACCAGCCCTGGAGTCAGGAGGACCTGAGTTCAAATCCAACCTCAGACACATAACACTCACTATCTGTATGACTCTGGGCAAGTCACTTAACTCCAGTTGCCTCACCAAAACAAGCAAATAAACAAGAAGCTTTCAAAGGCAGGCCTAAAGCTCAGGTGTCCAACACTCACTGCCCTCTGAGCTACCTCCAGCATACAGGAATCCCGGAAATTCTGAGGTGGAAAAAGTACAAAATGGCGGAGTATGTTGAGCTACCCCTCCAACTCCTTCAAACAGACATGGAAAATTCACGAGACTGAATCCTGATGGGGAAATCCTGAAAAAGTCACAATGAGTCCTCTGTCCAGCCTTGGTCAATACAGGGAGACAGAGAAGTCTGCAGACACTGAGAAAGGGTTGGACAGACTGTGCATCAGGGCCAGAAGAAATCCCAGATCCCTCCTGGGCACTAACCCGCACTTCCTAGTTTGAGGTATGAGGGGGTGATCAGCATCTAGGCTAAGGGGCTGTCACAGTCCCTGGGCTGTGTATGGAGACAGGAGCAAATTTGGAAATAAACAGCAGGCGCAGAGCAGGGTCTTAGTGCCAGCTTCTATCCCAGTAGTACGCCTGCGGATGAACAGGCAGAACAAGGACCTGACCAAACAGTCTGCAGTTGTCTTCTCTGAACCAGAAGAACTTTCCAGCTGGCTGACAGGGACTGGGCAGGACATCTACCTAAAAGAGCTGTCCAACGCCCATCAACTGGGGAATGGCTGACCCAGCTGTGGTACACAAATGTGCTGTAAGGAATGATGAGCTGGCAGACTTCAGAAAAACCTGGAAAGACTTGTATGGACCAATGCTGAGTGAAGTGAGCAGAAGCAGGAGAACGTGGTACACAGTAACAGCCACGTTGTGCCACGACTAACATTGACAGACTCAGCCCTTCTCAGCAATGCAAGGATCTGAGACATCTCCAAAGGCCTCATGATGGAAAATGCCTTCTTCCACGTCCAGAGAAGGAGCTACAGAGTTTGAATGCAGATCGAAGCATACTATTTGCTATTTTTTTTTTCTCTTCTGTTTTGTTTCTTCTTTCTTGTGGTTCTTCTTATTGGTTCCAATTCTTCTTTACGACATGACTAATGTGAAAATACGTTTAATAGGAATGTAGATATAGAGCCTATATCAGATTACATGTTGTCTTGTGGAGGGAGGTGGGGAGGGAGGGGGGAAAATTTAAAACTCAAAAGGTTATGGGAATGAATGTTGTAAACTAAAATAAATTTATTTTTTAAAAAGGTAATAAAAAAGAGAAATAAATAAATAATATATTCCAAGAAATGTAAAATAAATAAATGAATGAATGAATAAATATTGAAATGCAAAAAAAAAGAAGAAAAAAAAAAAGGCTGTCCAGAGGATCAAACAGATAATTGTATAGCACTTAGTACACTGCCTGGCACATATTAAGTCATACATAAATGTAAAAAAGTACAAATTATTATTATTACTGTTGTTCAAACAAATATCTAGGCCAGGAACTTGTAGAGGTTGGGGGTGAGAGAATCAGACACAGATAGGTTTATAGCCAAGAATAACCTACCCAGCAAAACTGAATATCATGCTACCGGGGAAAAATGGACTTTTAATGAAATAGAAGATTTTCAAGCTTTCCTGATGAAAAGATCAGAGCTGCAGAGAAACTTTCAAGTTTAAACATAAAAACATAGAAACATAAAAAAGTAAGCACAAATAAACAATCCTAAGGGACTACACAAGGATAAAACTGCTACCACCCCAATGTGGGGAGATGATCTACGTGTGTCCTCTGAACCATATCATCATCAGGAGTCACAGACGAGTCTATTAGACAAGGCCTGGGAATGGTTATTAGGTCTTGACAATATTAAGAGAGAGGTAAAGAGAAGAGAAGAGAAATACAGAACAAAGGGTAAAGGAGACAAAGGTTAGGGAAAATTAGGAAATAAAGATACAAACAAGGAGGAGGGGGAGAGGAGAGTGACTAACACTTGAACCTCAACAGGGGAGTAGGATGGAAAGGGGAGGAAGGGGAACTAAGGGAAGGTTAAATTAAGGGCAGATTAGTCCTAAGCAAAAGAAACTTTAAAAATGCAAAAATATTTACAGCTTTTTTTGAGGTGGTAAAGAATGAGAATCTGAGGTATACATATTGGGGGAAAGGCTGAACAAGTGATGGTAAATGAATGTGATGGAATCCTACTGTGCTGTGTGAAATTACAAAGGGGATGGTTTCAGAGAAACCTAGTAAGACTTGTATGAACTCATGCAGAGTGAAGTGAATAGAATCAGAAGAATTATACAATGACAACAATATGGTAAAGACAAACATCTTCAAAAAAATTAGTAACACTGATTAGCACAATGACCAACTATGACTAATGATGAAACATACTATTCATTTCCTGATAGAGAAGTGAAAGACTCAGATTACAGAATAAGAAAAGGGTTTTTTGGACACGGTCAACGTGGAAATTGGTTTCGCTTAAATGTAAATGTTTGTAACAGTGGTTTTAGTCTTCTTTCTTTCTCGGTGGGAAGGAAAGAAGGTAGATCTTTGCCGATTGGAAAAACAAAACATTACCTTAAAAAATCTTACGGAGGACAATGATGGAAGATCATAAGCAATATTGCTTCATAAAGCAGTGAGAAACAATAGAGGGGAAAAAACAAGCTTACAGATAGCTTGGTAAGAGACTTAAAGTCAGTTCAGCAAGAGATGAAAATAGAAGGCAAAAAACAAATAAAAAAGGGAAAGACTTGCAAAAATTTCTAGAAAAAACTCCAATCAATGAAAATGTAGCTGCCATATTTGGACCCTAACATACCAATCCCTGATGTGTTTGATCCAGAAGTAAAAAGGGCAGTTAAGGAAAAGTTCAGGATCCTTTAAGATCTTCTAGTTCATCCATCCTCACTTTACAGATGAGGAAACTAGACCTAAAGGGCTAGGGCAGGAGATGAACTTTGCACTGCACCTTTGGAAAAGCATTGCCTTCCTGGCTGGCCAATTGATAATGACTGCAATTCATGACTGCATGTGGGTAGTCTTTGGTTCTTCACATCGAGACTTCCTATTTTAATGGACAGAATCCCAGATTAGGTGGCAGGAGACCTGGGTTTTAGTCCTGGTTCTGCCACAGGTGACCTCTACACTTTTTCCATTTTGTTTTGTCTCCCTTCTTCCTCTCATCCTCTTTGCCACCCCCTCTCCTATTTCTTCCCCCAACTACCATTACCAAGCTCAAGGTCTGGAAGCTTGAAGGTGCCAGAAGCCTGGTTCCTGGATAACCAAGATTTTGCTGCTTCTAAACATAATAGTCCTATCTGTCCTCTATTTCCTCATACGAGCTTATCATCTATGAAGTGATAATCAATGTATACTGACTATGTGTAGAGGCTGTCTTTGAATAAAATGTACTTTGCGAGATACACTCAGATTTTAAAATTTTTCTTTTAGTATTCTGATTTTCTTTATAATATGTAAAAGTGCTATCTACTGACAATCTTTCCTGGAATACAGGAAAGCGGCAGCGTTAAAAGTCGGCAGCAAGGAGTCCTTCAAGAGAAACTGGAAGTAGCATGTATCAAGCAGGTAAAAGCACAACTACCACCTCAATTATCATTTCCCCTTGGGATGAGTATACCAGGGCCCAGAGCCCAAGAACTGCAATGCCCCACAGACCACCCCGAGGGAAACAACTCTCAATGTGAGGGGGCCTCCTGTCTCTGCTACCACCACCATCACCACCAACAACAACAACCAACTTGTGGGCTGCCCATGGGCAGGTAAACCAAAGGGCTCTAGGAACAGCAGTGTCACCCCCTCCACCCCACCTCCAAGCCTACCAGCCTGGCCTCTTGAGGATACGGTCCAGGGGCAGAAGATGCAAACTGTCCTTGCAGGTGCTGCAACCCTTTCTTCAGGAGCCACAACTACCAAAGACCCAGAAAAGCCCTCTACCAAAGTCCTTGGTACAAAGAGCTTAGTAAAAATCAATGGAAATAACATTAAGGAAGATTCATTACCATCCGCTTTGCAGCTAAAACCTCGTCAACGTGCCATTTCTCTCTCTGCAGTATGAGCTCCTTGGGAGCTGGGACTGACTGGCATGTTCCTATCCTTAGTTTTGTTTCACGTTTTAAATCCTTAGTATATGTTTTTGTTCTTATTTTGTTCTTATGTTTATTTTGTTCGTATTTTTGTTCTTATTCTAAAATTTTGTTCTAATTTTTATATAGAGATAACTGGGGAGACACTGTAAAAGAAATGTTATTAATCAAAATAATTATACCTAGAGGATGACATAATTGTATTCTTATAAATTTAACTTCACATCAGACTGAACCAAGCGGATAGAGAATGTGGTCATGATTACAAAGCGTTAAGTATTAAATCCTGCTTATTTTGCTTTAAAGTGAATTTAAAGGGCTTTGCCTATGGCAACTACTTGAAAAGTACTTTTCATTTCATTTCTGCATTTTCTCCACAGCGAAACAAAACCTGTTTTTAAGAATACATTCCAGGAAACATTACTCGGCACTTCAAAACACATCTGCTAAGCGTTGGTCATTATGCATAAGGAACTTGTTTATGCGGCTTAAGTGTAAATAAAACCCAGACTGAGAACTACATTCTGAGTGTACCTGACAGCGTAACGATTCCTCTGGGCTGGGGCTGAAACCGCAGATACTTGTTACAGAAGTCTGCAGATTCCAGGGCCAGGAACAACACATTGCCCAAGAAGTAGCCGGCCGTCTGGCCCACAGAATTACAAGTGGACGCGTAGCCCACGTTCTCCCGCGACAGCATGGTCAGCGCCCAGCCGTCCACGGCGATGTCCTGCGTGGCGGCCAGGAACTCGAACATGAAGAAGGCCAGCGTGAGCGCCGCGACGTCGGGGCTGCGGCCGTCCGTGTGGCCCAGCATGTGGTCCACCTGCGTGGACAGGTAGATCATGAAGAGCCCCAGGATGTACTGCGTGGGCACGAGCCACGACTTGCGGCGGCCGAAGCTCTTGAAGTAGACGGCGTCCACGAGCGGGGCCCAGAGCAGCTTGAGGCTGAAGGGCCAGAAGACGAGGCTGAAGAAGGCCTGGTCGGTGTAGCTCACGTTCTTGCTCTGCAGGATCAGCGGGATGCTGCCCGCCAGCCCCAGCGGGATGCCCTGCAGCACGTACAGGAAGAGAAGCAGCAGGATGTTGCTCAGCTCGGCCCGGTAGCCCCGCGGGCCCCAGGAGGACCGGGAGCCCGCAGTCCGCAGCAGGGCCTCGGTGTCCGCCTCGCCCCCCGCCCCGTCGGCGGGCAGCTCGTCGTCCCAGGCGCCCGGCGGCAGCGGCCCGCTTTTCATGTCCGGGTAGTGGTTGACGGGGCCGGGCCGCCGCTGCCGGCTGCTGTCCTTGTGGGAGACCGTGGGGGACATGGCTGGGCCAGGCCGTGGGCTCCCCGGCTCAGGGCGGGAGGCGGCCTGGACCCTTCTGGCCGCGGCCCCGAGCGGCCAGGCTCGCGGCGGGGGGGCGCCTAGGCAGGGCCCGGGCCGGCGTCCCGGGCAGGGCGGCCGCGCCGGGCCCCGGGCTGGACGAGGGGGCCGTGGTGCTGCGCGGGGCGGAGGCGAGCTCGCCGCGGCAGGGCCGAGTCGGAGGCCAGCGGAGGCGGCTGCGGACCCGGATCGGAAACCTGACCCAACCCCTCAACTGCTCCGCCAGCCAGTAACCAACGCGCTCGCGCCCGGTCTCCCTCTGTGTTCTCCGAAAGGACTCTGAAGGTTCGGGATGACTTCCGGCAGCGCACGGCTTCCGGCCTCGCGCGGCAGGAAGTGGTCCTGTTCTCAAAGCCGTCCCGTTTCAGCTCCGCCCCGGCCCCAGGCGGGCCAATCAGGAAGACTTCCCGGCCTCGCGCGGGAGGGAAGCAGGGCGGGAACCACCGTTTCAGCCGCAGGCGGTCGCCGGAATGTTTCAACCGCTGCACGGAGCCTGGGGGCGGGGCCGAGCCCCGAAGCTCGCCGGCGTCCCCGAGGGCAACGGAGAGCGTGGTGAGCTTCCACTGGCCGAGCGCCGCGTACGTCACATCCGGGGGAGGAGGCGTGCGGAGCGCCGGCGGTCTCTTTGGGCGCCCGGGGAGGGAGGGTCTATTCTCGTAGGGCTTCCGGATCTCAAAGCGCTTACCTGTCCAGGTGGGTAATGTAAGCGTTCACGCATCCCCATTTCATAGATGAGAAAGGCCGAGGCCTCCCGGGTGGTTTTCTTTCCCCAGGCCGTGTTCGTCTCACGAACCTCCTCTCCCCGATTCCCCCGTGGCTCCCGCTTGCCTCTAGTACCAAACTGTCACGGGGGGGCCGGGACCGACAGAAAAGGTGGACTTCTGCGCTACACAAAACCCTTCCTGACTCCCCTCCCCCAGCCCTGGGAGGGGCTTGCCTCGTTATCCTCGTTGGAAAGGTGGGGAAACTGAGGCAGAGAGCGGTCACGCGGCTTGTCTGAACTGTGGACTCGGTGACCTCAAGTGAGCTCCCCGAGCCGCGGACGTCAGCTCCCGCGCACAGCTACCCGTTGGAAACTGGCCTGCGTGACTTGGGCAGTGCATGTTTAGTGTCCATCGTGTGCAGGGCGCTTCACCGGGCCCTGGGGGTACCCAGAAAGAGAGGGAGGAGACCCCCGGCCCTGCCCTCCAGAAGCCCCGCTGCTCCCGGGAGCGCACTGGTGAAGAAAGCACCCGACTGCGCCTGGCCCTCATTGGGGTTGCCCCCCTAGCTAATGTGCGTGCATCTCTCCCTCCTTTCTGGACTAGACTCCTTGACAAGGCCTCCTCTATTGGTGCTTCCTCTTCCCGTCCTCCCTCTCTCTTCTTAACTCTGCAGTTCGGCCTCCAGCCTCATCAGTCCGCTAAGGGACTCACGATCTCCTAAGTGCCAAATCCGGTGGTCTTTTTTCAATTCTCATCCTCCTTGATTTTGACACTGTCAGTCACCATCTTCTTCTGGATATTCCCTTCTCTCTAAGGTTTCTGGATACAGCAATCCTGCTTTTCCTCTTCCCTGTCTGACCTCTCCTTAGTCTCCTCTGTGGGATCTTCATCCAGGCAGTGCTCACTAAACTGCCTGCCTCGTCTCCAAAAGCTCTGCCCGGGGCCTTTTGCTCCTCCCTTTTTAGTAATCTGGTTAGCTCACATGGATTCAATTAACATCAAATCTTAACTGAATCGGCTTGCAGATGATTATAGTGTATTTATCCAGCCTAACTCTTTCCCAACCTCTCGTTTTGCATCTCTAACTGCCTTGGGTACCTTATGCATTTTAGGTGAACATGGCCCCAGATGAGCTCTTGATCTTTTGCTCAAAACCCTTTGCTCCTGTTACAGTCAATGATACCACCATCCTCCTAGTCACCTGGGCTCGCAGTGTGCTTGTTACTGGACTCCTCAGTGGCCCTCGGTCAGGTGCCAAGGCCTGTTAATTTTACTTTCACAACATCTCTTGTATATGTCTCCTTCTCTGATACTGCCGTCAATCTGATGTACGTCTAGACAATTATAATAGCTTTTAGGCTGGTCTTCCTGCTTCAAATGTGTCTCTGCACTAGTCCATCCTCTAATCAACCTTGGACTAGAACTTCATAAACCATAGGCCTGCCCATGTCATCCCCCTACTCAGTAAACCTGAGTGGTTCTCTGTCACCTCCAGGATTAGATATTCATAAAATGCTTCTGTTTGGCATTAGAGCCTTTCTTAATCTGCTTCCTTCCCCCTCCTCCTTTCAGGTCTCTTCAGACCTTTCCCTCCATCCCTTCCTCTGCTGTTCAGTGACTCTGGCCTCCTTGCAGTTTGTTGCATAAGACACTTCATCTCCTAACTAGGAACATTTTCCCTGACTGTCTCCCATGTCTGAACTTTCTCCCTCTTCCCTGCCTCCTGGTTTCCATGGCTTCCTTAGCTAAAATCCTAAGGGCAGCTGGGTGGTACAGTGGCAAGTACCTGGAGTCAGGAAGACCTGAGTTCAAATCTAGCCACAAACACTGGCGATGGGACTCTGCGCAAGTCACGTAATCCTTTTTGCCTCAGTTTCCTCATCAGTAAACATGGAAAAGGAAATGGCAAACCAGTCCAGTACCTCTGCCAAGAAAATCCCCAAGTCAGGCATGACTGAAAATGACTAAGCAAAAACACCACCACCAAAAAACCCCACTCCTTGCTAGAAACATTTTCCTGGGCTCCTTAGTCCTTGGGTTTTCTCTGGGAGATTCTCTCCAGAGCTTTTACTGTCCATCTTTTCTTTTTTCTTTTTGTATTATTTTGATTTATCACCAGTCATTTCCATAAGCTTTTGAGTTTTAAATGTTCTCCCCCTCCCTCCCCAAGACAGCATACAATTTGATATAGGCTCTACATATACATTCCTATTAAACATATTTTCACATCAGTCATGTTATAAAGAAGAATTAGAACCAATAGGAGGAACCACAAGAAAGAAGAAATAAAACACAACAGAAGAAAAAAAAGAACAAATAGTATGCTTCAATCTGCATTCAGACTCCACAGTTCTTTCTTTGGATGTGGCATCATGAGGCCTTTGGAGATGTCTCAGATCCTTGCATTGCTGTGAAGGGCTACATCTATCAATGTTAGTCATCACACAACGTGGCTGTTACTGTGTACACCGTTCTCCTGGTTTATGCTCACTTTACTCAGCATCAGTCCATATAAGTCTTTCCAGGTTTTTTCTAAAGTCTTTCCTGCTCATCATTTCTTATAGCACAATAGCATTCCATTCCAGTCACATACCACATTCCCCAATTAATGGGCATCCCCTCAATTTCCAGTTCTTTGCCCCCACAGAAAGAGCTGCTATAAGTATTTTTGTACATGTGAGTCCTTTTCCCATTTATATGATCTCTTTGTCTCCCCTTATATGTCTTGTTTGTACCTAGTTGTTTTCATGTCTCCTCCTTTAGACTGTTAGTTCCTTTCGAACAGGACTTTTTTCTTCCTTCCTTTTTGCCTGCTTTGGTTTCCTTAGCTCATTGCCTGACACAAAGTGTATACTTAATAAGTGCTTCTTGACTCAACACCATAAGCCCCCCTAATTCTTGATGCTCTTGGCATTTAAAGATTATTCTTTGATACTTATTATGCTATAAAAATAATGTCCCCTTAAATCTGTGTGGGCTAGTCAGAAGGGTCTATTTCCAGGAATTTTTATTGATAATTTCAGGTAGTCTATAGAAACCACAACATCTCTGAACATATACAGGCTCCAAGTCTTATCACACCTGTTCCCTTCCATACTTTCCCTTTGCAGCAAATTTATGTTCTTTTTCCTAACTGCCTGTTACGTTTTAGTGGCATGCAAGAAGTCATATGACCCCTTTAAATTGAGGGAGAATACAAAAGACAGTGATTACCTTTTTGAAGGAAAAAAAAATCAACATTGTGCTCTACCTTGGAGGTATACGTCTGTCACTAACAAATTTTATTAATTTATCATTAATCCAAGCATTATTGTACTCAGAGAAATGTCCAAACTGACAGAATCCCCTCATGCCCTTACATATCTCTTCACACAAGTCTTTTAAAAATAATTTGATATTTTTATTCTGAACTTAACAAACATTTACCAAAACAGAAATTTACATGTACATAGTGGACCAGAAAAAGAGTATTGTACATGAAACTGCAGATCTCTATTACATATAGCTTGCTTTTCTTTTAAATAGAGGGTGTCCCCAAAGTCTTGGTGCAGTTTTAAGCTTTAGTAGCTGAGCTTTTGGTCCTCACTGTGTATAATAAGTTTAACTTGTGGCTTTCAAAACTGACCTGTTTATCTGTGGTTATTTTTGGCCGCCTTTCTTCTTCCTTCTTTGCATTTAAAAAACAGATGCCTCCATGATCTCACCTTTTTTTTTTTTCTTGTTTGCTACTCCATCCCCACTCAACCATCTATTCACCCCAACATTGGAGAGGAAAAAAAAAAAACCAAGGCCTTGAACTGGGCTAAGGCAATCAGCTAATATGTTTGCATAGTCAAGCAAAACAAATTCCTATGCTGTGTCCAAAAATGTATTTCTCATTCTGTGTTTTGAGGCTGTCACCATTCTGTCAAGAGCTGGGTAGCATGCTTCGTCATCATCAGTCTTCTGGAATCACAGGTTTTGTTGCTTTGATTAAAGTTTTCAAGCCCTTGAAACATGTTTATTGTTGTTTTTGTAATGTTATTGTATAAGCTGTTCTGCTTACTTCATTCGGCATCACTTGGTACAAGTCTTCACAGGTTTCTCTGAAACCATCCATTTGTGGATATTCTAATGATGGCTTTACAAATAAAAGGGCCTAACCTCTCAGGGGTATCCCTAACATCCGTTTGGGGAGGGGTTGCCCAATTCTGGGGCCCAAAACTCTTCAATGGGAGTAAGAATTGGATTTGGGATCCTGAGAACTTAAATGGGCTACAATTAGTTGAGG